TGAGTGTGGGAGCTCAAACAGGAGATTAGCTCATTTTTGGAGCTACTTGAGAAAGCTGACGATTTTCCTGAGCTGAGTGACACAGATTGGCTTTGTGATTTAGCTTTTGCTGGGGACATACTGACACATATGAATGAGCTGAACGTGAAGCTACAAGGGAAAAATCAGTTTGTGCACAAAATGTTCTCAAACGTCAGAGCCTTCAAAACCAAGCTAGCTTTATTCTCAAAGCAAATGTCAAATAAGTAATTCGCTCATTTCCCCACACTGGCTACACTGAAAAAGGCCCCTCGACATGTGAAAAAAATACAGGAAATCACTGGACAACCTGCACGGAGAATTCTGCCGTCGGTTCTCCGATTTTGGAAAAATTGACAAACACTTCAGCTGGTGTCATGTCCCTTCACACAAGACCCTGAAACGGCGCCACAGGAGCTGCAGTTGGAACTGATTGATCTCCAATGTGACACCGTCTTAAAGGAGAAGTTCAACTCTCTTAAACTGGATGAGTTTTATGCTTCATTAAGTGCAGCCAAATTTCCAAACATCCAGAAGATGGTCACAGAGGATGCTGGTGTTGTTTGGCTCTACCTATGTGTGTGAACAGACTTTTAGTGTGATGAACCCACAGTCAAAAGTCAAAAACTTGTATCGTTCCATGGGGCATAAATACAAGAGACGTAAACATGTGTGTTGTTGTCCATCACCTACCGATGAAGAGGATGGGGAAGGTGATGAAGAGAAGGAAGACATGGGGAACCAGGTTGAGAGCGTCCACAAAGCAGCCATTGTTCAGCACACCCTGCCCCACGCTGTAGGCATTACCTTCGTCTTTGCCGCAAAACGACAAGGCCATGCCACCGCCCAGCTGCTCCACACAAGCCTCGAGTCAATCTATGAATATACAAAGAGAAACTAGATGCCAGGTCACACAACACAAATCACACTTGTACTGCACAGCTGTTCCGAGATCAGTCAGTGAAAATAACCTGTAAAGGCTTTATTCTATTATAAAGCCACGTCCGGTTCTTTCAAACCAGGAACTCAGAGGGACGACGCAGACCACTTGGATATATAAAAAATATAACCGTGCTGGTTTATTCAAAGGGTCACAGGCAAGAATTAACATTACATGTCCAGGCATCTTCCACCCCCAAAGCTGCTCCCAGGCAGCCTGGAAGAAGAAGCCCCCTGGACCAAGAAACCTATACAATATTAATCATTTCTGGGCTCGCCCATACTACGCAGGGCGTCAAACCGTGACGTCACCTGATATGCCAGCTTGGCAGCTGAGCAGAGCAGTAGACAAAACATGAAGAAAATAATGTGTGTGAATGCTGATTATGTGGTGTGTATCTAAAAACACTGTAACACAACAATCCACATTAAGAAAAATATTATGGTTACTTTTACCGTCATAATAACATTTGTCCCTGACTGCAGCCTTTCTCTGCTTTAACTAACCTTGCATTTAACAGCCTGAGGAAGACATCCTGGCTACACTAACATCTTCTAATACAACAGATCTCTAATCAATATCTATCTAACTAAGAAAGTACCTAACACCTGTAACGCCTTATGTTTTCCCACAACAAACTGTCTCACTGGTCGTGATTTGGCATGAGCTCTGGAGACTCAGTCAGACATTTTCGTGTTATGTCACACACTCAAGTGCGCACATTCACCCACACAGACACACACAAACAGTCCAGTGTCACGCATGAGAGCTATTTCAGGAGCACTGCCCAGCTACATGCCCCCAGCTGATGCAGCATTCATGTTAAATATTGGAAATGTCATTAAATGTTGTCATAATGCCACAACCTAACTTTCAGGAGACTGAGGTTGTTTTACTGTTTGAGTTAATGTTAGCTAGGATGATCTACTTCATACCTCTGGGTCTCAAAGCTTCTGATTAAAACAATGATACAATGTGCTTAGAGGTTCTCAAACTATTGCCCCATAGTGTTGTGTTACTAGTGCGCTTACTCACCTAGCTGTTAGTTTGTTTAACAGGAAAAAACACCTCAACTCATACTTTCAACAGTGATATAAATTATTCAAATTAATCTTTCTTTCTCGACAAAACCTTCTTTGGCCAAGCACAGAGATTGCCATTTAAATCTACACTCATGTATCACATTTTCCAACTAAAAGAACGAACTGTGAAATAATTAAACAGTGACAGTAATGTAAATCACTACTCTGAAATAGCACCTGGGATGTTTACACCTGGTGGCCATCTTTTGTTTGAGTCAAAAGTTGCACCTTGTACCTTGTCATATACGCAGAAATAAACATTAGGGGCGTGATGATATCGCGTGACACCGGATCTCGAGATATTTAAACATGGCGATAGTTCTCGCGATGTCGGTACGTAACAGAACCAGGCCAGAATGACAGCGCGCTCTGACCACACGTTCACATTATTGTAACTCCATGCTGTGTTTTAACACAAGGGGCTGCGTTTCTTATGGGGTTAGAGGTTGCAGGGGGAGTGCTGTAGATATGTACAATAATGTGACAATTCGATTCAAGTGGCTTCATTCACGTCTTTAGCCGGGGACTTTCCGCTGTGTTTTGGTTAGCCATGCTGCTAACGTAGCCTGCTCTACCTTGGCACAAATTACACCACCAGTGTGTCGACACTGATAGATTATAGAAACACCGTTTAACATCCAGTACTAATGAAAATGCATGGTGTCTCGTTATGGTGCGTTAACTGTGGCCCTAATTCGACAGTGAATAGCAGTGAATGCGCACGCTAACAATCGTCCTCATTATGTGATTGGTCAATACGGCGCTCTTGCCAGGTGATGTCACCATCCGAGGCCCATAAAGTTGAACCAGATCCAACTTTTTCACTTCACGTGGTTACGTCATTTTACCGGAGCCCGGTGCTGGTGTCATGTGCGGTGAACGCAATCCCCCATAGGAATGAATGGAGAGGGCTGCGCTTTTTCACACCTTTGAAACTCAGTCAAGCTCATGCACAGTCATAAGATCTGAAGAGACTCATGAAATCATACAGAACAGCAGCCAGTCAGTTGAGTCTGCGGCAAAACCTTTCACAGAACTTGCATTTTGTTGTCTTTTACTGTACATGATCATTAAAACATTTCAAAATACACCTGCACCGATTTGCATTTTGTGACTTCCAGTCGAATAAAAATAATTTTCCAGTCATATACTGCATCACTGAAGATTTCTTAATAATTGTGTTAAAATATCGTCTCCTCTCCTGAGCTCAGTGTATTGTCACACCCCTAATAACCACTGGAACATAGTGTATGTACGGTTAGAAAATAAAAGTATTAGGTTGCTGTTTGAGATGTTTCTACTGAAGTTTTGGTAATTGTCTCATTAAAACGTGGCACCTCTATAACAGCCACTTGTATAGCTGTTTATGCATTTCTTTCTATGCATTGAAGCGCACTCATTGCGCTTTCTGCTATTTCCCACTCACACACCGGCGATATCACCGGGAGGGATCAGTGCCTTGCTCAAGGACACCTGACCGGAAAAGCCAGGAACGACCAGTATAATTAAAGGGTAACTATATTACGGAAACAAAAACATAGCATCAGGTCCCCAATGTGCGTCACTTTAGCTATATGTGAGCTGACAGTGTAACGTTGATATGGTACTAAAATAACAAGCAGAAACCACAGTTTAGTAAATTAACCTTCAGCTTTTACTAAAAACACCAGCGTTGGAATATAGTTCCGTTTATAAAAACCACCCAATGGCGTTAATTTTAACAACAAAGTTAGCTCCTGCTCACACTAGAAAGCTAATTTACACACTTAAGATAACTTAAGATTGTCACATATATTAAAACAGCACTTACCTCGGAGAAAAGTAATTATCCTTATTGCCACCGTTTCATTCCTGAAGACTGGATTTTAAAAGTAATAAAATAAACAAAGGGAAAGAAGAAGAGGAAACACAAACAAATTAAAGTGGGAGCTGGAGAGAAAACGTTGATTATTTTTAGCGCCGCAGGAGCATCAGCTGCTCTGCATACTGCGCTGTGCCAGCAGTGTCAAGTTACACCGACTACAGCAGGACGTTTCCGGTGATTTCCTTCAAAATAAAAAGGCAAGCCTGACTACAGCCCCATTTTACTCATTGATGGGGTATATCAAATAATTATGTGGACTACAAAATGCTCACAGATCTCCAAGATATATTAAAAAAATTACACATTACACATACACAGTCAGATTAAACCACAACTAATCAAAAAATGAGCTGTAGTCCCACATGAAGCCCCATGTGTTTAGTGCATTGATAAAATGCAAATAAATTGCAGAACACTGTATGAACCACAGAGAGTAAGCACAGAATCAACTGAAATATTAGGAACAAATTTGTAAAAAAATAATACCATAAATTATTTGCTGTACATGCATGGATGGTTAATGAGCGGGCCAATAGTGGCCCAAATAGAAAAGGGTGCCCCTGGACCAGAGTCTCTGTACAAATTGACTGTAAAAATTTTATGTTGGAAAGTCAATCAACAACAAATAAGCACAAAATTAGTTTTAAAAAAAAAGACACAAAACAGCCACAAACAGATGCAAAATAAGCACAAGGACATGCAAAACAACCTCACAAAAGTAAAACACAGAGAATATAAACCACACCACAAACAATTGCAAAAAAGAAAAACTGTTTTCCATAGTTGGCTTTCAGTCTGGGAATCTTGATCCTATGTAGGAGGGTAGTGGGCCTTTTACATGTCTGTGCCCAGGGGCTCGGTGTCTCATAATCTCTCCTGTGGACAAGGAAATTGAATGCTTCCTGGCCAGTGGTGCTCAGGATATTTATCCAGTAAGTTCAAGTATTTTTTTCATCAACATCATCTGTTTTGTATTGCAGATACAGTTGCCACTAACAATGATTTTTTTTCTACCATTTATTCCATTGTTATGATCTGTTTGGTTTGTAAGATGTTTAGACATTGTGAAAAATTAATTACAGTTATCTACAGCCCAAGCTGTCATAGTCAAATGTTACATTTTGTCAGCCCAAATCCCAAAACAATTCAGTTTACTATCAAGGCTACAGAAACCAGAAATTATTTAATTTAAGATGAAGCTATGTTTTCTTTACCAATGATGCAGAGTCATTGCTTATCAAAATAATCATAGACCACTAAATTATAGGTGATCCCGGTCACTGGGTTTACATTCATCTTTAGTTTCCCACCAAAAGATAACATTCTTTGGTTATAGTAACGTCTTTTTATTTTGAAAGAATAAACGTCAGTTGGTCCGGTATTAATGTGACAAACTTTAAAGAACCTGACATGAGGTTCCCTCCTATCAGATTTCCAAACTTGAAGCAGTTCAGCATGAGTGTGTTATTATGGGCTTGTTCAAGAGCCACCTCACATCTAATGAACTAATATTACCTAATCCGGTCACAGTTTACACACTTTATCTTTTTGGCCCAGTAATTGTCATTAGCGAGCCTGGAAACCTGATTTAAACCTCGGCACAAATTTGACCACTGGAAAATCAGTTTCCAAATTTGCTATTGGAGTGGCAGGAACAGAAAATTACTTTGAAATAAATTAAATGTCAATCACATGGTCCTTAAAAGTATCAATAGTTTACAAAACATCGCTGAAACAAAGCTTTTAAAAAATTAAAAGGTTCCAAATTTCACAGTGAATAAATTTTGTCATTGTTATACAACAGAACTATTACAGATTATGAAACGGTTGATCAGTGTCACAGCCTAGCCTGTTGTAATACAACGTTTTTACACAGGCATTTACTTTATTTACTCACTTATTTAATCAGCTTTATTGGCCAGGTGTGTTGAACAAGAGGAATCTGACTGGTACAGCGGCTCTCAATGTGCATGTACAAATCTCCAGCAAGGTGCAAGTGAACAATATACCAACATAAGGCTGTAGAGTATAACAAAATAAATGCAAAATGAACAGTATAAACAGACAACAATTTAATATTTATAACGATTTACATTCTCATAATCCGAGTTCGACTGTTTGCATGACGAGCATCTTGCTGTAAAATAAGATATAATCTAAAACCTCACTGAATCCGAGATAACACCAGAGTTACACTAGAAACCGTATTAAAATGCATCGGAGAGAAGACCTTGGATTGGGTCAGCAGAGCGCACCGAAGCCAACACAGTCCTTTGTTATTAATGTCGGCTAAAGCTGCAGAAAACAGGACAATGGGACGCGACCCCTGCAGGCTGTTTAACAGAAATCATTAAAAGAAAACGACGAGACAACAATAAACCAATCTGGTGTCTTTCACGTATCGTGCAATATAACCTAAAATGAGTTTCACGCAACCTTCCCACGAGACAACCAAACCTCAGTTCAGAAATCATAATTTAAAAAATCTACGTGAAGGTATAGACAAATACGAAGGGCTAAACATGTGACTATGTGTTGTTTTAATCAATTGGATTCACTCTTACATTCGGCTGAAATAAAAAGGACATAGTAAGATTTACTTTTGTAGGAATTTTAACGTTTTGAACGGTCCCGCTTGTAATTCCCTCAACCCCCTTTCACCAAAATACATGAATCCGTGGTGAGGAGCACAGGGACCAGCATGAATCACACTCATAATTTGATAAAATATAAATGTCTTGGTGGATGACATGGATGCCGAAATGAAGAAGTGTCTATATTTGATTCAGAAATAACACCGCATCGCATTTTAACTAATAAATGTATAGTGAGCGGTAGGAAGACTTTGGATAGGAGGACTGTTCAATGACGTCTGGTATTAGCTAGAGGTCTTTCACATTACGAGGTCTCGTACCTGTCTCTGTTAAACTGAAGATGTCGTAAGGCACCAGACCACGGCTGCTGTAGTCTGACTGTAAATGAGACACGGATAAAATAAGAAAGCATTATCCTACACCTACCCCGGGCTCTGACGCAGATTTGTGGGCTCGTACGTGATTCACCGCGTCCAGACCCTTTCCCGAAGCGACGTCTTACAATATTGCAGGAAATGCCGGTACATTACATGTACTGTCACGGCGTGAGACGCACAAACGCTCCTATATATGGTGGCTGGCTTTTCCGGCTGACGTTACTTATGGTAAATGAAAACACCAGCGGCAAATGTAGGTCAAATTCAAGCCGAACAAGCCCTGCGAAGCTCAGGCGGCTTTTTATGATCAAAGATGGTGTTTTACGCACGCAGTGCCTGTAAACGGGCCGTGGTTACTCGCCTTTTATCAATAACCAGTGCACCTATACCGACAGGAAGGGCTGGGGGTCAGAGTCCGAACTCTGCTGGAGCACAGCAGCAGTTGTAGGCTGAAAGCTGGAAAAAGCACTAGGGAAATTGTTGATTTTGGCATAAATTATTCATTACAATAGACAAGAAAAATTTATGTAAATGATTATTACTGTTCACCTGTACTGCATTTTACTTTGAAATATGTCAAATTCATTTATATCACTAAACTGGAAGAAGGTGCCATTCATTCATAAACCAAAGGCGAATGCTTTTGCATGGGTCAGCAGCATAAGATGTATTTATAAAGCAATGATAAGGAGCATGTGCAAGACTGAAAATAGAAACACTGGAAGGCTCTAAGGAAGAAAAATGTCTGACCAAACAGCTCATGATGGTAGAGGAATGCCTGAAGGCTTTGAGTTCATCCAGAGTGAACACAGAAAATGCTGAGAGAAGTTAATGCAGTGAGTTTGTCTGCAAGCTTCTTGTACAAAACTGTCTGTTTTTGATCCCTGGAGTCAAAACCAGTGCTGCTGGGGGGTGTCCCTACCATCCAGCAACATGCAACGGCCCCCGAACTGGAAACCATTAATGGGTCTGTTGACAAATGTTTTTGAGAACATTGGAAAATTACTCATTTATTTGAATTCTGACTTCTTTCTCGGAATTCTGAGATTAAAGTCAGAATTCAAATCAATTTTATGCAGTGGCCATAATTCTCTTCTGTATAAAATATACACATATTTACAATTATAATAAAATACTCAGACCACTGCTATATTAGAGTACTACATTAATAGTCACTAATATCCACTGCAAACACCAAACACAGTATAAGACACACCTTAATGGGTTTTCTAGACGTTGTTTATCACCCTGGTGTTAGCAAAGTGCTACACAGCATGATTACTTGTCAAAGCAAGATATTTTAATGTCAAAAACTATATAGATCTTTTCTTTTTAACATCAAGAAAGCAACACTTGGTTGGTGCAGTCCAACAGCTCACTTTTGGACATGTCTGTGTTTCCATCATATGTAGGAACAGAGTGGGGCGAGGCCCTGCGATGGACCGGCGACCTGTCCAGGGTGTACACCGCCTTTCGCCCGATGCCAGCTGGGATTGGCTCCAGCCCCCCCACGACCCCGTTCAGGACTAAGCAGTATAGAAAATGAGAGAGAAAAAGAGTGGGGCGATTCACTTCCACTTGTGTTTCCTAAGAAACCGTCAAGGGAATAACTTGACCTCGCACAGCCACACACCTTCATCTCCCCCAGTGCCTGACAAACACTCCCACTCATCCTCACTTCCTCTGTTTTTTTGCATGACACACACCAAAGCCGAGACAGCTGTTCAACTCTGGCCTTTGACCCGTGTGTCACCAGAGGAGGACGTATCCCTCGAGGCCCGTCGTCACAGGAAGAAACACACCGAGGGAGGTGACGATTAAATGATCGAAAGCTGACAGGAGCTAACATGATTAACAAACTATGTGATGCAGTTTGAAGCCACTGTTTCATCCCGCTGCAGGCTCATTAAACCTGACCTGACTGATGCATCAGCACTTCAGACATTGTGTGTTTCAGTTGCTGTGCCCATAAATCTGGTTTATTAGTGTGTTTATGTGAGTTTTATTTGTGTATGTGTGGTTGTCCTCTCCATCGTGAGAAAGCCGTCTCCTGAGGGAAGTGTTTGACCGACATGCTGCCCCAGGACAGGAAGTGGGGACCTGTCCCTTCTCCAAAAAACACACACAGTTATACTTGCACCCTTGTGAGGACCCTTATTGTCATGATACC